TCTACCCCATCGTGCTATGGGTTTACTTTCCCCAAGAGGAAGTCTAGATGGGCACTGCAATGATAAATGACTAGTATAACCTGCTGAGTTATGGATAGACCCTGCCACTGAAGAGCTATGCAATCCTTTCTGCTTCAGTTTCTTCCTCTATAGAACAGGGGTCATAATACCTACCCCTCAGAAGCACTGTGCTACTAGTACAGTGAGAAGAATCTACTTGAAGTGATTAACAAAGAACAAAGAACACATATGAAGAACTCAGTAAATGTGAACTTGTGGTCCCCCAGAATGACTGGGACCCCTTAGTTGACTCTGGACACAAGCTTGACCTGTCAAGTATAAACCCTGTGGCACTGTTATTTTGGGAGCCCCAGTGCCACCACTAAAAGAACCCACAGAGATTCACAGCTGAATTCAGTACTAGAAGGCAGAGACATGCCCACTCCACTCCCAACTCAAATCCCTCAAATGAGGACAGTTGCCCTCATCTTAGTATACCCTAACCCTTTCTTTGTTAGGTGTGTAAACACACAAAAAATAAAAAGGCCGGCGGTCAGGCCGCTTCCCCACTCCAGGGAGGTCGATGGCGATGGTCAGGCAAAGGAAGGAAACGAGGGCCTGACTGGTTGGTCTTAGCAGCGATTTATTACATGGAAGAGATGTATGTCATGGAGGCCTCAGGAATCCTCAAGCACGTGCACCTTTGTTCTCTCCGCTTCTGTCCTCAGCCCGATCTTCCTAGGTTCTCTGATCCCTCCCCCAGAGCCCTGAAATCTCCCTTATATAGATCATAGTACCTCTAAAGGGCGCAATATAATGATGTCATCAAAAGGAGTTACAGAAAGAACATTGAGGAGGCAAACATACATTGTTTCCTTACTTCCACAGGCCAGTAATCCTGGCCTCACCTTTTCACAAGCTACAAGCACTTAGATTAGCACAACAAAGACCAGTTTGCTAGAGCTTGGAATCTACATCTCCAAAATCAGCCAGCCTGGAGCCAGGCATCTACATCCCAAAGACCAGGCCTGGCTTAACACCTGGGATCTGTATACCTAAGGCCAGCTAGGTTCCTGAGAGAAAAGGGAAACTGTCTCAATATACTGAAATCATTTACTGAAGGCAGTTTGAAGGGGAGAAAGCAGTCTCATCCAAGCTAGTCAGGACACACAGGAAAACTGCTTCTAGGACGTGTTTCTCCTCTCCTTGTCCAACCAACATATAAGCATACATAATATTAATCATTTTGTATGGACACAGTAAGAAATACTTTGAGCTTATAGAATTGCTCTCTTAGGGCCATCTCAATCTCAGACTGCAGTGCTCAGGCCAGATATCTTTCCTATTCCTAGCAGCAGGGCCCTAGTCTCGTCGTTACTTTTGGTTCATGACATCATTTGCCTATGATCAACCTCTTAACTTATAGTTAAGAATCGTGGCACCTTGGCCTGGCCCATCGCGATGCCAGGGTAGCACATAACTTACCGGCTTGCCCTGGTTCCATCCAGTCCCACGTCGGGACCCTGCCCTTGGGGTGCTAGGAAGTGAGGGCAACTGAGGCTTAAGTTGAGAAGGCAGATGCCCAGGAGTGAATAATATTCAAAGCCAATCAATTCCTAACTTACGGAGCATATTAATTAATTGTCTTCCTGTATCTATACGAAAGGACATTGCATTAAAGTAAACTGCTCAAAAGACATAAGGAGAGGAGAAAGGCAATATTAACTTACAGTACAGCTTCAGTGTCTAAGAAGGATGAGACCTTACAAATTCGTTGGGGAAGAGAGCATAGAAGTGGTTACAGACAGACAAAGTAATGGGAGTGACTCGGGAGCACTGTGATGGGTGTAACCTGATAAACCTAAGCTCTGTGTACTCCAACAGTTAGGTTTGCAGATATGATGGCAATGTGCCTGAGGGGATCAGCCACTGTTAATGTTCATTCTGGCATCCACCTGGCTGCAGCTCTCCCTGTCCTTTCTCTCTGAAATACTCTTCTCTGTGTGAGCAGTATATAGAATAGGATGAGGAAATGCAAAGTTTGAAAGTGAGGATGCCTAGACCACCCTTGGTCCCAGAATAAAGGGAAGAGAAAGAAATCAAGTGTTGAAGGAAAGACAGGCTGGAAGCACCGAGTACGTCAACGTGTAAAGGAGTGGAGTAGCTAAATATCCACACCGCAGAGTCAACAACCCTGGAAACAAGAGACCCAAACTTCAACCAACAAACTGAAAAAATGCTCCTGTCCAGGAGGGAGGCTGGAAGGTAGGAGGGAGCCTGGGAAGTGGTGGAGGGAAATGGACATGGGTGGTGGAGCTGTGCTGGGATGCTGGATACCTAAAACTCAAGTGACTTTGTAAAGCACAGTCACTGTTACTGTCCTCCCATTGTTCATCGATTTGCTTGAGCTGGAGCAATAGCATAGCAGGTAGGGCATCTGCCTTGCATGCGGCTTACCTGGGTTCGATTCTTTGGTCCTTCTCGGAGAGTCCGGCAAGCTACCGAGAGTATCTCACCTGAACGGCAAAGCCTGGCAAGCTACCTGTGATGTATTCAATATGCCAAAAACAGTAACAAGTCTCACAATTTGTGAGACGTTACTGGTGCCTGCTCAAACAAAGCATGGTGTTTTAATAAAATTTTAAAAAAAAGAGAGAGAAAAATAAAAGAAATAAACTAAAACATCACTGTATTTAGAGAAAAAACAAAGCTCCTCTGTGATCACTGATGGCCAATGTCTTCAAGACTGCACCTGTCAGCTTGCTGTTAGTCAAGCTCTTTGGGGACCCATTCCATCTCTCAAGTGATGGCTTCCCAGGGCAGTGGAGGAAGCAGACAGCCAGGGGAACTGCACCGCAAGAAGGCGCACAGTGCCTGTGCACGTGCCACACTCCAACTCAAGTTTGAGTGAGTCCTGGCCACGACTTCAAAGAGAACGAAGGGTGGACTCAGGGCCCTCAGCCGTTGGGAAAGAGCTGAACAGAGGCCTGTTTAGCACAGTCTGCAACCAGTGAGGTCCCGTGTTTTCCCATCAGCTCTCCGGGGAAGCAGTGCGGAAAAGGATCAGGGAGAGGGAGCGGAGGGGAGAAGGGTGCAGACAGGAGGGTGAGCGGCAGCGGGTTGGGCACTGGGGCTCTTGGCAGGGGAGGAGATTCCAGAAATACTTTGGAAGAAATTCGCTCTCGGCATTGTCGATGCGGAGGTGGAGGCAGAGAAGACGTCGCCTGAGCCTTATGCCGGAGCCTAGGGAGCCGCTGGTCCAGAGGTGGGGCTTCCACGCCGGCGACCCGGCCCACCGGTCTGGAGGCATCTGGCTCATTTCCACCAGGCTCGGCGGCGCCCAGGAGCAGCAGTTGGCACCTGCCGGGAGTTCCCCGCGGCTGCTCCCCCTTTCCCTCCCCCAGTCGTCCGGACTCTGGCACCCCTGGCCCCGTTCACGGTCAGGCTGGGTTTGTTTTTCCCGCGGGCAGCAGCCCCGACTGCTTGGCCTGGCGCCCCAGGTGTGAGTCCCCCGGATGTATGCGCGTCCCAGGTGTGCGCGCGCCCGAGGTGTGTGTGCACCCCAGATGTGTGCGCCCCAGGTGTATGCGCGTCCCTGGTGTGTGCGCCTCACGTTTGTGCCCCCCTCCCCAGGTGTGCACCCGGTATGTGAGCGTCCCAGATGTGTGTGCCCCAAGTATGCGTGCGTCCCAGATGTGCCCCAGGTGTGGAGCCTCAGGTTTGTGTGCCCCAGGTGTGTATGTGTGCTCCAGATGTATACGCCCCAGGTGTAAGCGCCTAAAGTGTGCGCTCGCTTGGGGAACGTTCCCATCTTGAGAAGCAGCGGGAGGGCAGCCCAGGCTCCAGGGAGCTCCCAAACTCCCACCTTGTTCAGGGCACCACGGAACTGGGTCCTATCAATGGCTCCATGAGCTCCGACGCGAGGTTAGGCTGAAGCCCACGGCTGCTTCTCAAACTTATATTTCGCAGGAGAAAACTTCTGAGACCCGGTGGAGTGGGCAGCCGCCCACCCCTGCCTCCTGCGCAGGAAGAAACCTGGAAACTGTACCTGGGGACTGCTGTGAAAAGCACTACCTTGTCCTCCAGACCCTGGAGTGTGATTCCAAGTTTCCCATCAACCACAAGGTAATTTAACAGTTTTATTCGCTTCTTCCTAAAGGAAAACGCCTCTGCGGTTGGGCATCCTTCAGGAAACTTCCAGTACTTTATTTGAAGCATTTTGTTGTTTGGAGGTGCTCAGGACTTGTTTCTGCAGGCTCTGAGCTCAGGAATTACTCCTGCAGGGTCAGAGGATCCTCTGGGGCGGCCCTACCCCTGTTCTATTGCTTTGGCCTTATTTTCAGCTATAAACATTCTCTATGATTTACCACCCCACAGGAGGGGATGGCTGCACGGCACTGACCTGCGCCACATCCTCCAACGGTCCTCCGCCAGGCACAGTGCCCTGTGAGATGACAATGACATTTCACTGATAACAGAAACTCATTTTAAAACTTCAGATCTGCATGTGTGTCCCAACGATCACAAAGAACCATACAGTCATATTGTACTGTCTATGGGCATTTGGTTCCAGGACCTCCATGAATTCCATAATTTCTGTACCCTCAAGTCTTTTATATGAAATTTGAACATAGTTTACACACACCCTTCATATAGTTAAATTATATCTAGATTGCTGTGATACCTAATGCAAATCTGTGAACAACTTAATACTATATTACTTAAAAAATAGTAAGAATAAAAGTACATATTCATATTTAATGCATCCGTGGCTGGCCTAAACTATGAAGCATGTACTCAGAGGCTAGGCTGCTTGAATCCAAGCATGTGAAAGCAATGAATGTAGTACTGAGTTACTTCTTTAATATATGTTAAGCTTACAGAGATAGTATTTGTATAAATTATCACTTTAGATTTTAACAATGTCATGTAAAAAAATTTCAAAGGTCTCCCTTTGTATGTATGAAAATATGTCTTTATTAAAAAACTATACACTCTATCATCTGGCATAGAAACGGGGTGGGGGAGAGGAGAAGGAAGAGGAAGAGGAAGAAGAAGGCCCATTTAGGTCTGTGTGATCAAAACAATGATTTTCAAACTCAGTGCCAATCATCGTGGGTTTTAAAAACACACAGATACACGAATCAGAAAAGAAATACAAATGCAGAAAACACACATAAAGTATGTGGCATACCTTAAGATTGATTAAACATTTGATTTCATGAACATTTGATTTCAGTCATACATCATGAATACGTAAGTACAGGAGTCATGGCATAAAGCATATTTCATAGTTTTCAATGTTGCCCTACTTGGCTATTCAGTGCCATAAGTAAGAATATTTCCCCCTATTTCTGATCAATATCATGGCACATACTGAGGGCCCTCTTCCCGCAGAATAAGGAGGGCCATGACGTCTGAGCTCTCCATTGCTATTTTGTTGACTCATTCTGTTGAGGCAGCCTTGCAAGATCATCAAGGCTTCCCTGGTGTGTCTGGATGTGGGTCAGCAAAGAGCTCAGGGCTCTGTGCCACTGTGCCAGACAAGGCTAGGAGCTGTGTGGATGGGCCCTGCCCCCATGTGGCTTCCTTTTTCAGACCTGAGTTCCTCAGGAATTGCTTCTATGTGAGTGAATTCAACAATGATCAGATTCCATTGGTTTATAAACTACATCGATTCAACAAAATATAACACTCAAGACAATTTACTCATTTATTTATACTGTTGTAAAATAAAAGTACTCTCCTTGGTTTTCTATTGATTAAATCATAATAGTCCTATAAAATTTGAGGCATTGGTGTTCCGTGGCTAATAGTAATGAATACATCACTTTTTTTTTGGGGTTTGTTTTTGTGCCATACCTGGCAATGCTCAGGGGTTCCTCTTCACTCTGCACTCAGGATTATTCCTGGTAGTGCTCAGGGGGCCATATGGGATACTGGGGTTTGATTGAATCTGGGTAGGCTATGTGCAAAGCAAATAATCTACCCACTGGACTAGCTCCTCATCTCTGAATATATAACTTAATATTCACATCTTGTATAGAAAGACATGAAGCTTTGATCTTGTAAAGTTGTACATTTACTATTTTGGCAGACCATCATATATTTAATACTAATTGTTTTCTAAGAACATGAGTACATCACATGGAATAAAATAGAAGAAAGCAGAGAAATGGCTCACTGTGTAAAACACATGTGAGGCCTTCCTGGGTTTTGGTCCTAGGCATATGTTGGCTTACGACTTAATGGAATCTGGGATAGTGAAGTACAGATATTTTAAACTAGAAGGACATTCATGTTGGTCTAGTTCAAACACTTCATTTCTCTTTCGTACTAGGAAGTGGCTGTATACCAGGGCAAATCTCTTACTTAAAGCCATATAATTACAAATTACATGTTCCAGGTCTCATGATAACAAATCTAAAATCTTATCCATTTCATAACAGCAGTGATATCATAATATAGTCTTCAAAGATGAATCATATCAAGGAAAATGAATAGATAGATAACATTTACATGTCAGACTTTCAAACTCCTATATCAACAATTTAATAAAAACATGTTTTGACAACTTGTTGTCAAGTTCAGGTAATAAATAAGGAGTACAATGTTGCAAATGGTGATGGCAGAAGTTCACTGTCATAGTAATTCACTTGTGTATTTATAAATTATTCATGTATATTAGTTGCATTTTCACCTTCATCACTTGAGTTAATTTTTTTCCACAAAAAGTTCTCATTTGATTTCCAAAGCGAAGCCTGTGGATCCTCTCTCCTTCTGGAAGATGTGGTTGGGGGCATTTTTTCACACAGAGTCTCTATTACTGCCAAGTCAGTGAGTTTACTGAGACTGTCGTCATTCTGTTCATTCAAGATGTCCCAGAAATCTTTTGGTCTCTGTTTTGTTTTTTCCGTGGGCCCTGAAAGAGATTTCTTTGGCAGCTGTGTGGGACTATTCCCGTGACTTTTAAAGAGGTCATCGAGAATAGAGGTGTCACCAAGCAAGTTGATCACAGAAGTGTTTTCTAACACTGCACTTTCCATCTTTCTGTTTTCCACTGTGAAAAGTGGCACATTTCTTGAAATGTCTGTCCCTGTGAGGTCCTGTTGATCTTTGATGGCTCCTCCAAGGTTTCTCTCAGAGGCTTCAGATTTACTACTCAGAGAACAAGATGCTCCGTTACCTTTGGAAGCTTGGCTGCTTTTGTCACTGTCAGTCTTCTGGTTAGAGTTTATAGACAATTTTTTAACTTCTGTATTGTTATAAATTCCCTCTTCTCTATAGGTACCATGATTTTGGGACCTAATTGATTTTCCCTGATAAACTTTTTGACTGCAAATTGGAGAAATTTTTTGGGCAGAATCTTTCAGTGACATAGTTTCGAATTCTAACTTTTCTTTTAGAAGAGATTCATTTTTTACAGACTTACTTCTGACTCTTGCTCCTTGCTTATTGGAAAATTTCGTGATTTCTGAGGCAGAATCCACAAAAAATTCTTTTATCTCCAAATACTGAGAAGCATAAAAGTCCTTTAGAATTTTCTGTCGTTCTTCTGAAGTGGCATTAGTTATATGCTCAGCAAATTCCTTTACAGATAACAAATTAAAAGAAGCCATTTCTTCAAACTGTTTTCTGAAAAATTTATGAATAAAACAAGTGTTATATATTTTATTTTATTGTGTTATATAATATATTTTATTGTGTTATATATATTTTTCCCTTTTTCTTTTTTGTTTTGCTTTTGTTTTTGGGCCACACACAGCAACGCTCAGGTGTTACTCCTGGCTCTGCACTCAGGAATCACTGTTGGCATGCTTCGGGACCATATAGGATTGAATCCAGGTCAGTTGTGTGCAGGACAAGCATGCTACCCGCTGTATTATTGCTCTGCCCCCTCACCGTTACATGACATATACAGGGGAAAAACAATGTCCTCTATTTTATTTAGCATATGGAACAATGAAAGTGCATTTTATCCTAGCAAAAGGTGACCTCTTTTCTGAGGCTATTAAAAAAAAATTTTAGTTCATGAAATCAGCAGTTTTCAGGTTTCTGATTTACCCCGTCAGGCATCTCTGGGAATGACGGGGTTTCAGTCTGCTGCTCCTCAAGCAGCCGGTCTATAACAAGAGAATCACGATTTCTATGACCTGTGTTTAAAAATCTACACTGGATTCAAGCACCATGAAATAAAGTTTTCAAAGGATCTTAATGGAAAAAAATCTTTAAAAAAATAAAGGGACTTTTTTCTTCCCCTTTCCGACTCCCCCAGTCCCCATCCTTAATACAAATATAGGAGAATCATTTCAAACAACTTTTTGATGAAGCTAAAAAAGTGATAAACTGAGATTCTTTCTTCTGCCATTGGCTGCAACTTAAGTATTTACACATAGTTAAACTAAAAGGTGAAAGGCTATTTGAAAAAGTGAGAATCAGTCTGAGTACAAGATGCCAATGACCTTTTTGCATAGCTGAGGAAAGGGATCTGATGCAGAGGCAGACTCTACAGGGACCCCAGGATATGTTTCTTTACTCAGGTCTGAATTGGGTCTGTGTCCAATTATAGCGATACTGAGATTAGAGCTAAAATATATGGAAATAGGAGCGCGGTAAACCCACTATTCCTGCCACTCAGACTGGGTGACATCAATTCGCGTCTCATTTGCTTTTAGTAGCTTGCTCATGCATTTCTTTGATGCTTCAGATGAGCACTCTGAGAGCGATCCACACAGTGCTATTATGTTCCTGGTCCCGATGCATCTGTGCTTGATCAACAGTACTCTCACTGCCAAGACACGAGTTATGGATTTATTTTAACTTTTAGGTCTAACCTGGGATCATTCCTGATGGGCCTTGGGGGAACATATGTTGTGCCAGGGATCAAACTGGGGTTGGCCATATGCAAGACAAGCAACATCTTGTACTATCTCTCTGGCCCCACAGAGAACATAGCTAATAACACAGATGATTACATATCTGGTGTATGAAATGCCTGTATTAATTATAAACATATGAACATCAAGTACATACATTTTAAAATATAAACATTACATTAATATTTTTATTTGAGAAATATTCAGTATAAAATCACATATATCAAATATAAACATTTATATGTACATAGGATATTTAATACACGATACTTGAGCTTCTGTCTTCTTACTAATGTTCTCTTTGGAAACCAACAAGCACATTACTGAAAGGTTCTAATTTTCCCTTTGCCTTAAGTAATGAGCTATTTATTGGTCTTTTGCTTAGTAATCATCTCCAAATCCTTTTTGGCCTTCCTAGTCAACATTTGTGTCCTGAGATTAAGCTACTGGCAATGTTACAATGTTACAGGCAATATTTAGAAAAACCCAAGTATTTCAGCAGCAGCCACACCCTTTCTTCTGTCTCTTCGGTGCTGAGATGACCTGTGAATGCAGCTGACACCTCTAGGAGCAGCTGAAGAGCATGAAGGCAATAAAGGGTGCATGGCTGCCCTTCACAGGATGAATTTTGATCAGAATTCCTTTTATTTTATCTTATAATTTGCTTTCCTAATTCTTTATATTTAAAATCAATTTTCTCAAAAATTTCAAGGAACTACAAGGCACAACCAGGGAATGTTAAGTTAGATTCATTGTGAGCAAAATTTAATAAATCCGTATGTGCACTTAGGCAACAATAACAAAAAACCCAAAAGATTGGTAACAAGTATCAAGAGTAGTTACACAGCATGAACAAAGCACTTGTTTCTCCCCTCTTTTCTTGAGGAACTAAGAGAGAGGGGTGAGGCACAGCTAAAATCATCATCTCTTTGCTTTAGTTTTCAGAGTGAAGGTAGAATTGAAAACCTTAACGGCCTTGAGGCTGCGGACTGGTGTAGACTGTGGGGCCCAGTAACTAGGAGAGTTGGCAGGAGAGTGCTGTGGCCAGTGCGTTACATGAAGGCATTCTGATGCTAACTTTTTCACTTAAAATGAGGTTTAGGCAAGGTAGAGAATAAAGGAAGAATGGGAAAAATTCATCATTAGTAATACTTATTTTTATATTAAAAGACAGGATGAAAAAATGTGCTTTTCAAAGACTAGTAAAATATATGTGCAAAATCAGTGTTCAAAGTTAAAAGACATAAAATTGAGCAAATACAAAATACAGTGAAAGCATGTGCACACCTCCACAACGTTGGTGCCTGCCATGCTGCGCATTGGTGGGCATCTGAGAACCAGTTGCTGTAGCAGCACTTGTGGAATTCAGAAGCCAGCTCTTCCCTGGGCAATGAGCATCCTGGAAGAAGCACCAGGAGCACTGGAACCCACAGAGTCACAGCCACCGTCCGACTGTCAGTGGGTTCCATCAGAACCCCTTTGACCAAACCTCCCATCCCTTCAGATCACTACTCCTCAGCTGTCCCAACCAAGACTGGCTCCTCCTCCCCTCCTGCTCTGTGTAATCCTCCCCCTGTGCTCCTGGGTCAGGCTAGAATCCCTTTCCTGTGATGTCTACACCCAATCTTCACTCTCACCCTTTAGCACATATATTGAACTATTCTTTAATTTTGCCAATCTTCCTTTCTTCTCTACCACACCTAAGTCTCATGCCTGTCTAGCCCTCTTATACTTTAAATTGTATGTATTTAACGGTACACCCTAAGCAACCTACCTTGTCTCTTACACACTTAAATCTTAGTGTTCAAGCTCTACATTGCTGCTTCTATCTCATCCTTTTCTTAAACTCCTTCCTCTCTATAAGGTTTATGTGGTTCCACTGAATTATTTTCTCCCTCATCTTATTAATTCACCTCTCAGTTGCTGTCTGCTAATGATAAAACACTCAAGACTTAACACTCCCAACTAATGGCATTTACTTTCTCACCTCCTGTCACTATTCTTGGCCAATAACCATGGTGCTTACTGAAAAAAAAAAAAAAAAAGAAACCCCCCCCAAACCCAAAAACCTATAGATCAATATCTCCTCTGATCCTTAACAAAGTATTAGCAACCAAATCTAGCAACATATCAAAAGTGTTATACATAGGATCAAATGCTATTCACTCCAGAGATTAAAGAATAGTTCAATACATGCAAATCAATTAATGTAATACAACACATCAACATAAGGAAAGATAAAGGTCATATAATGATATCAAATTATGCACAGAAGACAAGACTAAATACCCATTCATGATAAAATCATCTAAAAAATAAGGATAGAAGGAACATATCTCAATATAATAATAGTCATCTACAACAAGCCCACAACAAATATCAGATTTGATGTTGAAAAACTGAGACCCATTCCCCTGAGATAAGGCAGCACACAAGGATTGTCTCTTTCACCCCTAATAAACAACATGGTTTGGAAGTCCTTGCCACAGCAGTCAGACAAGAAAAAGGTATCACAGGGAGTCAAATTAGAATAGATGTCAAATGATCACTATTTGCAGATGACATAGTAATACATATTAAAAAACCCTAAAAACTCCACAAAATACGCTTTTGGAAATAAGAAACCATTACAGTAGAAGTTTTAAAAATTAATACACAAAAATGTGTGGCATTATGTGTGCAAGTAATGAACTTCAAGAAAAATAAAAATATAATCCCTTTAAAAACAGGTCCCAAAATATCAAATATCTAAAAATAATGTAATAAAGGATGTGAAAGATTTACATAATGAAACTATAAATTACTTCTGAAAGCAAAAGAAAAATACAGCAGAAGATCCAAAAACATTCCCTGCTTAGGATGAGAAGAATAAATATTGTCAAAGTGACCTTCTGAACTGAAGCATTCTGAAGATTTATTAAAATTCCCACTAAAATTTCAATGACAGGTACTAAAGTGATAATACAGTGGGGTAGGGTGTTTGCTTTGCACATGGCTCACCCAGGTTTGATCCATAGTATCCCATGTGGTCCTCCAAGCACTGCCAGGAGTTATTACTGAGTGCAGAGCCAGGAATAAACACTGAGCAAAGCTGGGTGTGATTCCACCCCCAACCAAAAAAAAAAAAAAAATTCAAGGACATTCTTCAAAGACTCAGAACAAACTCTACTAAAATTTGTATAGAACAATAAAATGCCCTGAGTAGCCAACAAAATTCTAAAGAAAAAAAAAGATGAAAAATACTGTGCTTCACAACTTTGAACTGAATATAAAGCTATACCAATCAAAACTGCATGGTACTGGAATAAAGAAAACCCACAAATCAAAGGAACAAAATTGGGAGTTGTGACACAATCTCCCAGATTTATGGTAAATAAATCTACAACAAGAGAATGAAGTGGAGAAAGAAAGTTTCTTCAACAGGGGCTGGAGCGACAGCACAGTGGGTAGGGCATTTGTCTTGCATGTGGCCGACCCGGGTTCAATTCCCAGTATCCCATATGGTCCCCTGAGCACCGTCAGGAGTGATTCCTGAGTGAAGAGCCATGAGTAAACCCTGTGCATTTCCGGGTATGACCCAAAGAGGTAAAAAAAAAAAAAAAAGAGTTTCTTCAACAAGTGGTGTTGCAGAAATTGGATAATCATAAGTAAAAATAAGTGAACGAGGAACCATATCTCACAGCATTCACAAGAGTTAAACAAGTGAATTAAAGACCTTATGGTCAGAGCAGAATTCATAAAATACATTAAAGAATAGGCAAAACTTTCTAGAAAATGGACTTCAGATGTGTGATAACAACCTGACCACATAGCAAAGACAACAAAAATTAAAAAACAAAAACAAAAAAAGCAAGCAAACAAACAAAAAAATTTACATCAAATTAAAAAGCTTCTGAACAGCAAAAGAAACTAAAAAAAAAAGATACCTTTCTGAAGAGGAGAAAATATTTGCACACCATACATTGACTAAAGGGCTATATTCAAAATTTAAAAAGCACCCATGAAGCTCAACAACAAAAAATCCAACATCCCCATCCAAAAATAGGGAAAAGCAATGAATCGACACTTATCCATAGAAGACATACAGATGGCCAACTGGCATATGAAAAAGTATGATTAGGGAAATGCAAATGAAAACAACAATGAAATATCATCACACGTCAATGAGTGGACACCAGCCAGTGCTGGTGAGATTGTGGTGAGAAAGAAACCCATATCCCTGGGTGGTGGGAATGTCATCCAGTTCAGACTCCTTGGAAAGAAATATGGCAATCTTCCCTCCAAATAGAACTACCACTGCCTCAGCATTCAAACTTCTTGACATCTCCCCCCAAACACGGAAATGCTCATTCATAAGAATATATGCGCACCTATGTTCCTCATAGCACTTAGCACAATAGCCAAGATATGGAAACAGTCCAAGTGTCCACTATAGATGAACGGACAAAGAAATTGTGACATATAGGGGCTGAAGGGCAGTGGGGAGGGTGCTACTTTGCATGAGTTAACTTGGGTTTGTTCCCAGGCATCTTAAATTGTACTCCAGGCCACCAGAAGTGAGCCCTAAGTGCAGAGCCAGGAGTTAGCAGTGAGCGCTGCCATGTGGTCCCTGCTCCTCCCTCCCTGCAAGAAAATCTTCACTGAGCAAATATCACCATATCTGTGTCCATCTTTATCCCTGTCCTTTCAATACCTCAGACTAGTGTTTCCCAAGTGGGTGATATTTGGGGGATAGGGTGGGTGAGAACAGGGCACTGGAATAATCCAGGGAGTGTAATTTTGAAAACCAGTGCTCTAGACCATTGTCAGTGGTTTTGATCCTACCTCTAGGATACTTTTCCCCAAAACCCACTATGCTTTGGGCTTACTCATTGCTCTGTGCTCAGCAATCAATCCTGGCAATGCTTGGGGGATCATATGAGGTGCCAGGGACAAATCTAGACTGGTTAAAAGCATGTACTGTCTCTCTGACCCTGTACCTCAAGGAATTACTCCTTCAATTAGTACCTCTCTGGCATGGTATCTCCCCCTATTTTGTATGTTCCTATATTTTGCATAGTTTATTGGTTCTATTATCTTCACAACTTTAAGACAACATATCTTTAATTGTACAATCCCCTCCAAGCACCTTTACTTTTCCAACTAGACTCTGAGAGTTAGCATGGGGTCTGGCCTGTCATCACCGGATCCTCACCTGGCATCTGCTCACCAATTCTCAGGTCTTTATGTCAAGTGTCATTTATGTCAGGAAGTCCTCTGCTGTTAGCTCTGGGGCATATTCCCAGCTCACATGATTCTGGTACTCCACAGTGTCAACAAATTTAAGTACTGTCACCTTTTTGAAACTCAGGACTCTTCTTGAACTTCAGGACTCTATACTCTGCATACTTGGAGATCACTGTCAATTCCAAGTGGGTGATACTTGGGGGATTGGAGAGCATCTCCACTAAACTATTTGACATTTTCATAAATTTTCAAAATAATATAAGCAAAATAAAACTCTGTTTTTCACTCCAAAGTCTTTTTTTTTTTTTTAATTTTAAGCACCTCTGGGAATAGATCCCGAGAGTGCAAAAAAGCATAGTAGAAATGACATCTGCACCTGTATATTCATTGCAGCACTGTTCACAATAGCCAGAATCTGGAAACAACCCGAGTGCCGAGAACAGACAACTGGTTAAAGAAACTTTGGTACAAGTACACAATGGAATACTATGCAGCTGTTAGGGAAGATGAAGTCATGAAATTCGCTTATAAGTGGATGGACAAGGAGAGTATCATGCTAAGTGAAATGAGTCAGAAAGAGAGAGACAGACATAGAATGACTGCACTAATTTGTGGAATATAAAATAAAATGAGACTGACACCCAAGGACAGTAGGGCCAGGGCCAGGAATATTGCTCCATGGTTAGCAACCTGCCTCATGAGTTGGGGGAAAAGGCAGCTGGAATAGAGAAGGAATCACTGATGGTTAGAGGAATTGTTCCGGATGGGAGATGTGTGCTGAAAGTAGACAAAGGACCAAATGTGACAGCCTCTCAGTATCTGTATTGCAAACCATAATGATCAAAAGTAGAGAGAGAGTATGGGAGAAATTGTGTGCCATAGAGGCAGGGGGAGAGGTGTGATGGGGGGTATTTGGGATGTTGGTGGTGGAGAATGTGCACTGATGGAGAGATCGGTGTTTGATCACTGAATGACTAAAATTCAAACATGAATGCTTTGTAACTATTTCACGGTGATTCAATAAAAATTTAAAAAATTTTTGAAGTACCACAATTTACAATACTGTTAATGACAGGTTTTCATGTGCCCAATGTTCCAGCACCACACCATCTACCAGTATCTCAGGATTCCCTCCCAAGCATCCCTTTTCTTCCACAATGGTCCAGATCTGTAAACCTAGATCTCAGGTTCTATTATCTTTGGCCATTTTTAATTCCCATATACCATTTCTTTATATACATATATGAGAGGGGTTACTCTGTATCTGTATTTGAGTAAGAATACTGTCTTGTTCTGTATTCTATATTTCTCTCTCCCTCTGACTGACTGCATGGTACCCTCTAGTTCCAACCATATGGCGCCAAACCACCAATTTTTTTTTCTATTCTACTCTCCCCTATTCAGTAAATCCGACCACTTGCTCAAGATAGTAAACTGGAAGTAATTCTGCTTGCTTTCTTTATCAACAACTAATCTAACTTAAACTGAGATTATTCACTAGGGTCTACTGCCAAAGCAACTATGGAGTAAACCGCCACCACATCATTATTTAGGACTTCTGGCCCAAGTTTATGTTTTTAAAAACATGCAACAGATCACACCACTTTTCAACTACTTTCCACTGTGCTTAGAACAAAGTTCAACCTTTCCTAAAATTGAGGAGGCTCTGCACACTTCAGCCTCATGTTCTACACCTCTGCCTGCAACTCACGCCTTAGTCTATGTGGTTCATGGTACGGTTATGTAGAGGAGCTCTTCAGCTCTTCAGAGACACTCCTACTGTGGGTCTGTGTGTGTGTAATGACCTTCAGGAATGCCCCTACTATGGGTCTGTGCCTATGACCCTTCCCGGACACTCCAACTCAAGGAATGTGTCTGACGACCCTTCAAGGATGCTCCCACTGTGGCTGTCTGATAAACTACAGGTGTCAGCTTGTGCTATACCTCTGAGATTTTGTGGTTGCACTCTTGATCTTGTTATCTACACTTTTTTCTGTCTGTCACCACAGTTCATACTTATTTGTATGCTTTATAGGACTGTTTTTGCCTGAAAATTGTATGGTTCAACATCAGCTCTCCAACTGAACTCTATATGCCTTTTTTTACTTTGTATAAATAGCATTTAGACAATGTCCACATTGGTCAATCAATACTGACCAAATGAATGCACAGAATGAATATGTACTTTTTCCAAGTAAGTTATTTGTTTCATGTCTTTGGTAATTTAGGCATTTTCTCGAGCTCGAGCGGGCCCAGTAACGTCTCCATTGGAGACTTTGTTGTTACTGTGTTTGGCATATCGAATACTCTCGGTAGCTTGCCGGGCTCTCCGAGAGGGGCGGAGGAATCGAACTCAGGTCGGCCATGTTGGCCGCTTGTAAGGCGAACGCCCTACCCGCTGTGCTATCGCTCCAGCTCTTTAGCTTTCTAAAAATATCTAAGTATTTGTATTTTATTTTTTTAAGTGTACAATTTCAGATTTTTCTCTGAAATACTCTAATAACAGCTGTAGTCCTGTATTTTATCAAACAGCTATATATCCTTTGGGAATTATAAAACTGACTACAGTGATTGCACAACAGGTATGGCATTTACTTGCATGTGGCCAACCTGGGTTCTAGCCCTAGCACTGCAGATGGTCCTCTGAGCCCGCCAGGAGTGATCTCTGAGACTAACCAGAACCAGGAGTAAGCCCTGGCACAGCGGATGTGGCTCCCCAAAATCACTCATAAAACCCAATGCTATTATAAATTACATACCTGCGGATTCCTTTTGGAGTTTCTCCAATTATGAAGGTGGTCTGTTCTGTACAGTAGATTTCTTTCTTTTTCTGGTTGACAGGATGTAAAAGGCAAAGGGGAAGTGAAATGCTTTCTTCACTTGAGCGTTGATTTTTCTTCACCTGTATCAATGTATCTACCTCTTTTTTTTCTTTATGTGCCTAAAAAAATTAAAAAGAAGCAAAATCTGAAAATCTGAAAGAAAGCAGAACCCCCCCCCCTTTTTTGCAACAGTCCCCTCCTTTGCCCTCTCCCCTTCCTTATTCTCGTCACTATCCTTTGTGCTAGACTGAACTGATACATGCCGATCATGTACACCAAGCCGCAGCCCTGATCCCTCAACACTTGCTTTAAGTTTCTTTAAAAATAATGCAAGAATATTAACCTTGAGGAAATACCTATATTCCATGATTCTGTTTCCTTCACTTTAAGATTTATGGTAATGGGTCTGAAGATTGTACAACAGGTAGGACATTTCCCTTGCACACAGCCTGCCTGGGTTAGATTGCTGGTACCACATATGGTCCCCTTTGGCCCATCAGAGTGGTTCCTGAGCACAGAGCCAGGAGTAAGCCTTGACTACTGCTGGGTGTGGCCCAACTTTAAAAAAAATTATAATTATAATAAGGGAATCATGAAGAACTTTGTACACTGTAAACCGTAAATATGTATACAACATTTTAGAAAGCATACAAATTATAGTGTAATTTATATAAATAATTTCTATATTCATGACTATTTCCATAACTTTTGAGTATTGTTAAGTATTTCTACTATATTATTTAAATATAAAACAATCAATTTAAATATAAAATCCTTATTAAAAGATTGGAGGCTGAAGGGATAGCACTGCGGGTAGGGCATTTGCGTTGCACGCAGCCGAGCAGAGTTCGATTCTTCCGTCCCTCTCAGAGAGCCCAGGAAGCTACCGAGAGTATCCTGCCTGCACAGCAGAGCCTGGCAAGCTCCCCATGGCGCATTTGATATGCCAAAAACAGTAACAACAAGTCTCATAATGGAGACATTACTGGTGCCCACTCAAGCAAATCAATGAACAATGGGTTGACAGTGCTAGAGTGCTATTAAAAGAAACACTTAGTGTAAGAAATGCAATAATCATTTCTAGATGTTAGGGTTAAAACACTGATTTGATGATAAAATTGAATTAAGAAGAGGTATACCTGACAAGTTGAAATCACTCAAGAATACTGGAGTAATGACAATGATTTGAGTTGTAATGTATTTCTTCCTTTTGACATATGGAACAGTCAGATGGGAAATGAAAAAATGAGGAACTCTCTTACCCTTCAGTTCTCAAAATGTAATAGACCTCCAAAGTAAAGATCAAGCTGGAGAGATGTATAGGTAACAAGGTGCCTGCCCTGCACATGTCCGACCCAGGTTTGAATCCTAGCACCAAATATGGTCCTGACCCTAGTCAGGTGTGCCTGCTGAGCAGAACCAGGAGCTTGCTCTGAGCACTGTTGGGTGTGGCCCAGCCTTCCCATCCAAAAAGGGATAAAGGTAGACTACAAATTACTATGTCAGTCTTACTCTGACCTGTATAATTTAAAATTCAAACAAACAATATCATTTTTATAAAAGTAAATATTCGTAATTAAAGGTAAAGTAAAAGTAAAGAAAAGGCCCTCCCGTTGATCATCGATTTACTCGAGCGGGCCCAGTAACATCTCCATTGGAGACTTTGTTGTTACTGTGTTTGGCATATCGAATACATCATGGGGAGCTTGCCAGGCTCTGCCATGCGGGCGAGATACTCTCGGTAGCTTGCCGGGCTCTCCGAGAGGGGCGGAGGAATCGAACTCGGGTCAGCCATGTTGGCTGCGTGCAAGGCAAACGCCCTACCGCTGCGGAAAATAAAATCTATTCAACTGAACTGAAACAATATGTACAAACATACTAGTAATTGTTCTGTTTTGGACAAAATAATCTTACCATTTTAAAATGCCAACTTAGAAATGGCTAATTGAAGACTTCAGGAATATCTGCTGTAAAAAAAGTCTCCAGATCCTATTTTGGCCATAGGAAAAGTACTGCAATTTCAGTCGTCTTTCTAAACCTCCTTGAGACTAATCCTGGAGAAACATGGATCACTGGGCAGTTAATGCTGACCCTTCTCCCCTGCTCATTCATACACCCTCACAGAGTTTCTATAGAAGGAAACTTGGAGTAGGAGAGAGCACAGTGAATAGAACAGCTCGACGGCAATGATAACAGGGCTATGGTTGGTTCCCAGCAATGACCGAAATGCTCCATTAAGCAATTCTGGAATAGATCTGTCTTTTGAGCTCATTCTTTTTTCTAGAAAGCATCCTACAGAGTATACACCAGAACTAAAAGCATTATATTTTCTATATATTTTGTATTTATATATTTTGTACATATATATTTATATGTCATATTCATAAGTACATTTTGGAGCTTGATTAGTTATTGAGAAAATTGGAACAGATTTTTCAAAGGCATTAGAAGGCTGGGTTTTCTGGAAAGGTGAAGAAAAACCAAGATAATCTTGCTAATTTGTAGAACATAAAGAAACAAAGAAAAGGATTAGACAATTCCAATGGGAACTAATCCAAAAACATGATAATCAGAAATAGAAATTGGGGGATAGAAAGTGGGAGAAGGGTTGGTGGCTGGCTGTGGGGGCATGGATCAATGATGGAGGGATTGGGTAACACTGGTGGTTTAGGTTCTCTCCAACTATAATACTGTTGGAAACTATGGTACTTCAATAAAAAATAATAAATGTATGACATCACAAATCTAAGAGGCATCAGCAATTTAACAAATTTGTTCAAATAAAATAATAAAAAAGAAATTATTTCTTTAGGGATGGTGAGGGCTGGAGCAATAGCACAGCAGTAGGGCGTTTGCCTTGCACGCAGCCAACATGGCCGACCCAAGTTCGATTCCTCCGCCCCTCTCGGAGAGCCCGGCAAGCTACTGAGAGTATCTCCTCTGCACGGCAGAGCCTGGCAAGCTACCCGTGATGTATTTGATATGCCAAACACAGTATCAACAAAGTCTCCAATGGAGATGTTACTGGGCCCGCTCGAGCAAATTGATGAACAATGGGAGGACAGTGACAGTGACAGTGACAGGGATGGTGAAATCTAGTAAACCCATAAAAAGCTATGAGTTGATCACTTTTGAAGAACAAAGAATCAAGAGTCCAACAGAATCTCCTGACCCTGCACCAAGCTGTCTTCACCTGGGCAAGGAGCAAGGGTGGGTTGAGTTTCCCTCCCTACCCCAAGCAGAACCCCGGCAGCCAAAAACCTCCAGAACCCAACTCAAGCCATGCTCAAGTTTACTCTCCACAAGCTTGGATGAGCCTCACCTATGAGGGAACCTGCAGAGAAACCCAGGTATGCAGGACCAGTAATTGAGATAGCTCACTCAGAACAGGACTGGGCCTCCTCCCCCCAGTTCCCTGGTTTTCCAGTAGCTTGGCAGTCACACCCACAAACTGCCCCCCGTGCTATATAATCTCATCAACAGCCAAGATCCAGAGACTATGAAATAAAGCTCCCGGAAGAGAGCAACACAGAACATCCTGGAGTGTGCATCCGTGAACCTCTTATACTCTAGCCCACTGATGTACCAAGAGTTGCACACATTTGTTTGTTTTTAACATACATGCTCTTAATCTCTTATATAAGGGCTTAAATAGCTCCAGGATGAAATACAACAATCTTCACACACTTTCCTCTTATATGTTGGTGGGAAGGTGCATGATGGTGGGATTGGTGTTTGAAAATTATTTGTAATGAAATATTGTGAACTATAAAAATAAAATATATAAAATAGAAAGTAAAAAAATCAGGAGTCATATAAAGGCATATGGCACATGTAACTCAATTCAGTCAAATGTTATCCAAGAGTTTCAGATGACAAAAACTTGTATCTCTGAACAAGTGTGAAAAATTCCCTATCCTCAATTCTTAGAAAACTCCACTGTGTTTCTCCAGTGGTTGCATTAATTCACATATTCAACCACCCACAGTTAATGAGAGTTCTGATTTCCTTTCAAATACAACTGTTGATAATATTACTCATGATAAATAAGTACCTGTATGACATTAAAAGAGTGATGTCCCGTGGAATCCAGTTGGTAATGGCTCTAGTCCAGCAGTTATCTCCAAATCGCATTGTGTGTCCAGCCCATCTGATTTAAGACTTCTTGGCAAACAAGACAGCATCCCTGATTCTTGATTGTCAATGAAGATTGGAACCCCGGATTCCTTCTCTCACTTGAGTGAAATGTGATATTCCAAGAATAGCTCTTTCAATTCCTCTTTGGGATACCTGAATAGTGTCCTTGTCCTGTTTCTGTAGGGCCCAGGTCTCTGAGCGTATGTTAGTGCAGGAAGAATGGTGGAGTGGAAAAGATGTGCCCAGAGCTAGAGGTTCTTTGTCCTCTTAACAATTTCTTCGACACTCTTGAAGGCGTTCCACACCTCTCTCTTCCTCCTGTGCAGTTCTGGAACCAAGTCATTCCTCATGTTGAATTCTCGACCCAGGCACACATAGCTGCTGCATTTGGAGATGTTCGTTCCATTGAGAGTAAATAGAACATCAGTGAACGAGTTCATTTTTCATGAACATTGTCTTCGCGCCTGACTGTCCTCGCTCGCCGGGACCCCTTGGAGGGGAGCGGGTTGAGCTTTCCTCCCCACTCTGACCAGGGCTCCGGCAGCCAAAGACCTCCAGGACCAGCCACCACCATGCTGAGACCACTCTCCGCACACATGAAGGTACTGGCAGAGGGACAAAGTCACGCGGGTTCCCGGGCCGAAATCTCCAAGCCTACTCGGATTTGGGCCGAGCATCCTCCACCCAGATCCTCCAAATTCCAGTAGGCGGGGGTCACACCCACCACCTGGCCCCCTGGCGCCGTGTAATCCCATCAGCGGCCAAGACTCAGAGACTATAAAACCCAGATCCCGGCACCGCATTCGCGGCCGCACGACATCTTATTATGACATCTTATTATCTCATTCCTACTTTGGATAAACTGGCAGGTTACCGAATGTAGCCTGCCCACAGGGCAGAGTCTGGCAAACTCCCCCTTGGTGTACCTAATATGCCAAATACCAGTAACAATGATGGGCCTCTTTCTCCTAAAGAGCCTTGA